GACAGTAGGCTATTACTCATTAACCTTTGGGGCATTCAAAAGTCATATGCATAACAGGAAGCTAAACAACAAAACAAACAAGCAGAAAAAAAAAAAAAAGACACTGAAATAGAGAACAAGGGGACAGTGACCAGAGGGGAGAAGGAAGGGAAGTTAAGGGGAAAAAGGGGGAGGGATTTGGAGGAACAAATAGGAAGGACACAGGGAGGAGAACTAAGGGGGGTGGAAATGGGAGGGAGGTGGGGAGCAAGGGGCGGGGGAGGCTGGGATGGGAGAAATAGACAAAAAAACTGTACTTGAAAAATAACTAAATAAAATTAATTAAAATTAAAAAAAAGTCATATGCAGGTTTTCAGCTGTGAGGGGCTGGTGCCCCCAAACCCCCACAGTCTTTAGAAGGTGGGTAAGGATCAGATGTGCACAGATGGTATAGGTGTGGGGGTCCAAAGCAGAGAGTGGGAAAGTTTGAGAGAGCACGTGTAAGGGTCTGAATTTAAACCATAGTCCTGATAAGTTTTGTAATTTTACCTTCAAATGTTTAGAGATTTTATACAGTGATTTTCATGGGCTTCGAAAAAGATCAGGTTTTATAGAAATCTGAAATGGTCAGTTTTCAGATTAAAAGGAGTCTCTCTTTCTGTCCTCTTAGCCATTGTCTTACACTCTGCCACCTGCTCAGAGAAAGCTGTACTCTTTAAAAGAGATCCTGTTCAGTCCTGGCTGGTGTGGCTCAGTGGATTGAGTGTTGGGCAGTGAACCTAAAGGTCACTGATTTGATTCCTGGTCAGGGCACATGCCTGGGTTGTGGGCCAAGTCACCAGTTGGGGGCGTGCCTGAGGTAACCAGTCAATGTTTCTCTCACACGTTGATGTTTCTGTCCCTTTCTTTCTCCCTCCCTTCCCCCTCTCTAAAAAAAAAATAAGTAAAAGGGATCCTTTTCCATTGTAAAAACAATGACAGTATAGTCTTTAAAAAACACAAACCAATGTAGTCACATGATTCAAACATAAAAAGAGACAACAATGAATGGTCTCCTTGTAACCACTTTGCCTTCCAGCTCAGTCACCCTCCCCCCACCCACCGTCCACAGCCCACACACAGGCGCAGCCAGCTCCTATTGGACATGAATTACTGTAAGATAAGAACAACTCTAATTCTGGGTTGAGGCCCTGTCTCTGAACGCATTTTGGAGCCTCTAAACCACACAGTAACTAGAACAAAGAAAGTTGAATAGAAAAAAATTATTATGACAGGAGATTGGAGTAATGAGGGATTGGCTAATAACAAGTGGAGAAAACTCTAAAAAATACAGGATTGGTGATATAAGAAGCAGCCACCACCCCCAGGGCTGAGATCCAAACTTTATTGGGCAGAGCACAGCTGTGGCTCACAGGGTGGCAGAGAAGCCACCCTTCAAATCAGCCCTCTGGAATCTGCCCTTTAAGGTGCCCGGGAAGTCTGTTGATGGAGTGGCATCTCACCAGAAACTCTCTACTACAAAACTGCCAGGAAGAGAATCTGGGGAAAACTGCAGGGCTGCTGGCCGCTGTGCACTGCAGGAGCGACCAAGCTGCCGAACCAGAACCAGGAAGCAAGCAGAGCTCTGTCCTCCTGCAGTGTCTTTCCAGCGCCCTCTACTGAAAACCTCCACATTCTGCCAGTTGACAGAGGATAATTCTTCTAAAAGGCTCAGATCCATTTTCTCAGAGCATGCAAAAAGGGTGAAGTTGCATCTGAGAATCCATACATTTATCAACGTACCGATTTCTCATCACTGGCATAGTGACTGAAAAATACAAATAGTCGTGTCCTCCCGAGTGAAACGTTACTAGAAGACATGTGCTGCCAAAATACTACATGATGCATTTCAGAGCCAGACACTAATGTTTTAGGTATTATTTGTACTACTTACGTTATTATTCTCTCTTGATTGGGGATTAATTGAAATTTTTTTCCACTTTTAGTAAAAGTATCAGGCATAGAGATAAAGCTAGGGTGCAGCAAGAAGAAATGAAATACCTTTTGAGTAAAACTGTTAGTTCAATTTAGAGGCAGGAATAGCAGACACGAAATATGGGGAGGAGACAAAGTTGTCTGAATAGCCCCTTCACAGCTTCAGATCATTAAATATTATATCACTTCTATCTTCGAGATCTTTTAAAGACTTCATCTGGTACGTAGCTAATTATCCTAACACTGCCCTTCATTATTCCCTATTTAGTATCCAGGGTTGTTCTCTTTCTTGAGGCATCGTGTTGCTTGTTGGGGCACATTTTCTAAGAATGGGGCACACCGTTCTTAGAAAGGTTACATGGTGGATAAATGGCTTTGAGACCATGCATAGCTGAAAATTTCTATTCTGTGCTGACATTTGATTGGTAGTTTGGCTGATAATTAAAATTTGGTTGGAAATATTTTCCTTTAGAATTTTGATTTCCCCATTGTTATTTAACTTTCCTTTAGAAGTATGAAGCCATTCTGATTCCTGTTCTTTTCTGTGTAACCTGTTTTTCTTGCTGTAAGCTTGTAAGAGGTTTTTTTTTTTCCGGTATTCTGAGGTTATGACAGTGATACGCCTTGGAAGGGGGCTGTTTCATCCATTGTTTGAGCACTTGTTTGAGAATGTTCTCTGTTTTGCATGGTTCTCTGTTGTGCATGGTTCTCTGTTCTCAGGCGTTCAGCCTTGTGGACTGATCTTCTCATTTTCTTAACCTGTCTTCCTATTTGCTACCTTTGTCTTTTTGCTTTTCTGAGAAGTTTATACAGCTTTTTATTTTAACATTAAACTTTTAACAGTCCTTAAAATTGTATTGTTAGCCCCTGAATGTCCCTGTTTTACCACATCCAATCCCTGTTTTATGAGCACAGTATCCTCTCTTCTCTTTGTGAATAGTAATGAGAGGATTTCTTTTTTCCTTGACTTTTCATTTTGCATAACCTTTGCTTCCTCCAAGCTTTCTTTTTTCTGTTGGTTTTGGTTTCTGTGGCATGAAGAAGTTTCAGAAGTGCTGCTCCAAACTGTATCGGCAGCTCGGAGCCTGGAAGTTAGGTTTATTGACTGTGGGTTTTACCGTTGCAGGATCAAGCCAGGTCATTTTCTGCAGGCAGATCTATGACCATATTTTTAGGTCTTTTCCTTTTGGGCCGAGCAAATCCTACAAGGAGTCTTTTTTGCATGGAGGATATAGGTCTGGCTTTTAGCATTTCAGGAGCAGAATTGAGAAAAAAGACTGATAGTCTCAGCGTTCAGTATGTAAACACTCTATTAACTCAGTTTTTGATACAATGCACCTACCCTCAGATGTGCCTCATGTTGCCCAGCCCAGAGACTCACCTGCAGTTTTATACTTCAGAACATAAATCCCTTCTCTCCCTCTGTAGCTGGGGAGAGCATAGGATAGTTGTATACAAATGTGAAGAGGGACCTGGGAAGTCAACTGTTTCTCAACTTCGTCAGTCCATTTTTCTGTGTTTAGCTCATTTGTTACTCCTCATTCCACAGTTTCTCCATACAACCAATTCTGATCCTTTTGTGGTGGGCAGGGGTCTTAAGTGCAATTTAGGCTGTGTCTTAGCTTTCCTCTGCTAAATTAGGAGTGTATTTTAGACTTTGGGTAAAGTACCAGTTTTTAAACAAGACACAAAAAGCATTGACCATGGAAAATTATTCTTCAAATTGTTCATCACCTTGAGAAAAATGTCAAGTCTGCCGAAGGATTAATTTCAAGAATGTAATAAATAACTTCTTCACTTCAATATGAGGAAGACAGTAAACTCAATAAAAAGCTGAACTGGACATGTATTTCACCCACAAGGAAATGCTTGTGACCACAAACACGTAAAGAGATGTTCAGCACCTGGATCACGAGGGAAATACAGGTCACAACCCGACGAGAGACCCTATTTCACTCACTGGACTGTCAGAACTTAGGAAGAATGACAGACTCAAATGTCAGAGAGTTTGTGGACTCACAGATTCTCTGACACGTACACCAGATGAGGCTGCAAACTGCTCTACTTTGGAGAGTCATTTAGCATCATCTCATACTTTGGAGAATAATTGAGCATAATTCTACTCCCAGGAGTACAACCAAGGGAAATTTCTTGTGCCTAATGCAAAAGGAGACATGTCTGAGAACAGTCCCAGCCACGCTGTTCACAATACCAAAACCTGGAAATGGACCAGAGGCCCATCGGCAGGAAGTGGACTATTATACAGCAGGAAGAACAAAGAACTAGTGTGATATGCAGCAGTATAAATGACTCTTAGCAATACAATTTTAAATGGAAAGAAAGCCCCGAGAGATTACAGACAGCATGAACTATTATATAAAACTAAAAACAACTTAAAATTATATATACGCATTTATTCACTTATCTATTATACATATTTCATGGATGTTTTATATTATATATTTCATGATGACCATAATACATGTGTACATATTGTATTTTGAATGGATACAATAATATTGTATTATGTATATTTCATGGATATGATAATTAAAAAGCAAGGGAAACCAGATGTAGAATTTAGGGTAATAGTCACTTTAGATGCGGAAGCAGAGGAACCGATTGGTGAGGAGGACCATTGGTTAGAAGCAGGTTATTGTCAGGGTCATAGCTTTTGTTTTGGTTGGTTAATTTTGGGGGTCCTTGTTATATTATTAAAAATCATTGTATAATTAAATACATGAAAAAATAAGCTGAAAGACCCAGGGTTCCCAAGGTGAAGTACAGCTCCTTGTTCACCCGGATCTCAGTTCTCTGGTTGCCTGTCTGTCTGTCTGTCTAAGAATTAGCATTCTGAGACCTGTAACAAATGTTTAGGAGTTGAAAGTCACAAAAAAATCCATTAATCTACTGTTAACAAACTGAATTTTCTAGGTGGGATTCATATACTTAACATTGTCATATACTTTATAGAATACTTAGTACATAAACACTTACCTCTATTTGTTCTTGCATAGAAATTTTACATTTTTTTTTCCCTTTCTTAGGACAAAGTTAAACTATAATCCTCCAAAAGATGATGGATCAACCTATAAGATTGAACTTGAAGGGATATCGGTAATGGTTATGAGAGAGATCCTGGATTACATCTTCAGTGGGCAGGTATGATGAGACACAAAGGAAGGAAGACTAAGTAAAGGCTTCTCAAGCTCAGGGTGAGGGTCTCCTTTCATCCATTCTCTGACCACGTAACAACACCTCATCTCCATCATCCATCCCGTGTGCTTGACTAGTGTCTCCTACTGCTAATGGCACTCAAGTGTGTTCTTCCAGGGCCCTGCCCTTAACAGAAAGGCAGACTAAGTGATCTCACCCAGTCCCAGTGTTTCACTTTACCTTTCTGAGCTCCATCTTCCAGCATGAGTTACAAAGAACGTAAGATGCCCTCGTCATTGCTGTCTTTTTGTTCTTCGATCTTAATTCCAATTTTACTTTTTACCCATTCTGTTCAGGAACTCATTCTGTCTCCATAGCATGGAGATGGGAGCTTCCTTGGGCAGGGGGAATTTATTTCTGCTTTTGCAGAAATACAGAGTTCTAGACTCATACAGATGACAGGCCCCTGCGTTGTAGTTAGAATGCCTGGTTCTGTCCCTCAGCAGGACCAGCACCCATGTACCACCCCCCATTCTTTCTGATGTCCCTTTAGTCCCTCCACCCACCTGTGTTTCTGGGGATTTAATGAAACCTGGGGAGGAAAGTGGTACGTGATCAGACTTCATTCTTACTCTTTGCCTCCTGCACCCCGCCCCCAACTGCTGTTAACAGCATGAGGACTTGTAAGAAAAATCTTATGTGTGAACCAGGGCGTGTAGCAGAAAGAAGTTAATGAGAATATGGTTTATCTTGACTCTTTTTGAGATCTTGTTTCTTACTCTCCTCTTTATTCCTGCTTCATCTAATGATGTTACCTTTTCTTTTTGTGAACGCTGTGTCTCCTACATGTTTCTGAGTTTTCTCAGTGTGCTGCTTACTTTCTCCAAATATATTCCATTTGTCTAGAGTCAAACTTGGTGACTGTTGTCCTTTTTGAAGTTTTTGTTTAAGTTTAATGTTGTGACCTCCTTTTCTCTAAACACTAGGTGGTGGATGTATGGCTGTAAGGTTAGTGTTGAATGGTTGTTAAAAAATAAATGAATTTAAATTAACTTCGGGGCTCCCTGTAAGTACTGGACATATTGCATAGCACCACAAAGCCAGGCATGGGACCAACCACTTACCTAACTTCTAAAATCTGCTCTGTAGCAGTTATCACAAGTTATAAACCTGTAAGAACTTATTCACATTAAGGCTTAGATTTGAAACTTGAAACCTTATTTATAGCTTTTGTTCCTAATTTAAATTAATTAGTGGTTTTAAAATCCTAGTTGCAGGGTAAGTTATAACAAACTCCCGAATTGGTGGTTTAGTTTTATTGAGATGGAATTTAGTGTGTATGTGTTTTGTTTTGTTTTGTTCTGGTTTGGTTTTTGTTTGCATGCCTACATTTGGATAGTCTACAGCTCTCCACAGCCTTGTGGCTAAATTTTATATGCCATGTAAAAGGGGAATTTCTGCATACTTGTAGTTTACTTCATGCACCTCCTTCTACTTTTGTTGCTCATTTTCCAAGGTGACTGTATCTCTGGTGCATGGTGTGTAAACGTAGTAGAATGTTCCCTGCTGCACTCTGAAACCCCTCCGTCACATTCCCAAGTAGAGGATGAGGCCATTCCCGGAGAGTCCGGGCTGCCGCTGGGCCCGGCGATGTTTCAGGGGCCTGTTGCCTTGCACCCTCCCTATTGGATGGAACAACTGCCAAGTGGGTAGGGGAAGAAGAGTCAGTCAGAAAACTGAAGAAAACTAAGGAAAAGTAGATGTTCAAAATGATTTTTTAAACCTTATATTAGGCAGTCCTTCCAGAAAGTAGCTCCGGAACCAAACTGTGTCTGTCGCACCACGCCGTGTGTGGTATTTGGTGGTCAGGTGAGGTTTTGGAGGCTGTGTAGATCCCCGTTCTTCAAGGGGCTTGTGTTCCGTTTGGCGTACCTTTTGGCAAAGGAGTGAACTTAATATAGTGGAGGTAAGATTTTCCACAGTTATGGTGCCAGTATTTAAAGAAATCACCTTCAGTTTACCACAGAATACAGAACTTTCCATTTCCTGAGCATTTCAATCATTTAAGGTTTTTCTCTAAATTAAGTATAGAAGTGAGCAGGTGGATAGTTCACCTCGAAGAGTTATTGGTAGTTAATGTGGGTAAAGCAAGGGACGCAGTAGGAAAAGTTTACCAGCCACATGTTGCTTTTCTTGTTCAGAGGATCCTTGGGGCCCTCAAATTCTTCTTGGAAAAAAGTACTGAGTGAAAGCATGTGCAAGTACCATTCTGTGATCATCTTGGACCTATGAAAAGGGAGCTCTCATGTGGTTCAGCCAAATAGATCATGGTTTGGGTTTTATATACATTCAAGTGTAAAATATTTATGATGTTCTTACAGATCCGGCTAAATGAAGATACCATCCAAGATGTTGTACAGGCAGCGGACCTGCTCCTGCTGACGGACCTTAAAACTCTGTGCTGCGAGTTTTTAGAAGGCTGCATCGCTGCCGAGAACTGCATTGGGATCCGTGACTTTGCCCTTCATTACTGCCTGCACCACGTGCATTACCTTGCCACGGAATACCTGGAGACCCACTTCCGAGATGTCAGCAACACAGAAGAATTCCTAGAACTGAGTCCTCAGAAGCTTAAAGAAGTGATTTCTCTTGAGAAGTTAAACGTTGGCAATGAAAGATACGTATTTGAGGCAGTAATTCGATGGATAGCACACGATACAGAAATAAGAAAGGTACCTAGAGTTTATAACATGGTCTGTCTTTGCCCTTTCACTCAGTTTAGCTGTTTTTAATCCAAATGGTCACTGTCTTCTCTTTCTCCTTCAACATGAAACACTTGCAACGTTATGATCGAAAAGATATCTGTGGCCCTGATCGATGTAGTTCAGTTTGTTGGGTGTCATCCCACAAGGTTAAAGGTCACCAGTTCGTTCCCAGTCGGGGCTCATGACTGGGTTGCAGGCCAGTCACTGGTCGGGATGTGTGTGAGAGGCAATGGATTGGTGTTTCTTTCACACTTCGATGTTTCTCTCCCTCTTTCTCCCTCCCTTCCCTTCTCTCTAAAAATAAGTGAATAAAATCTTTAAATAAATAAATAAAATATATCTGTGAAACATCTTTTCATAGGATCACTGAAGTAGTTGGTATTTCAGACTAGTCTGCAAAAGCCCATGTAATTCAATATAGCAATGAAAATATGAACACATAATATCCTTTGTATGTTGTTTTTCGTGGGAAAAGGCATTTCAGGCTTAAGCTGGACGTCATAGAAGTGTATTGTCCCCGTTCTCATTCGTCATCCATCCCTCCTACATCCGTGGGCTAACGCCTAGAGCAGCTCTGAGGGAGGAGGTGGCCGGTGAGGGCTGGGGGTGCGGCCTCTCCCTGGAGTGATGACACCACTTGGGAGAAAACTGGAGAGCACTCGGGAGCTTTCATGACCATGCAGGTCCAGGTAGGAGGGTTCTGACAGCCTGGGAAGGAAGGTTCGTAGAGAGTACCAGGGTTTAGATCCAAATTGTAATACACTGGGGAGGGAGCGAAATCATGGGGCCTTAAGTCTCATACTTACAAATCAGGTACTAGCTTCAGTCACTGTTTTCAAAATGAGAGATATATTCAGTTTCAGAGTAGTCTTCGAAATGTACAATTGCCTTGTTCATTGTTCTTGATAACTCCTGACTTATGTTTTAATGATTATCTTATAATTTTTAAAACTCTGCAGCAACTATGCTCTTCGTCTCAGTGTGGTTAGACAGTTAATGTTCCATTTTCCATATCAGGTGGGTAAGTTAGGAAAAGGAGGTAGAACAGTTTCCACCTTGCTGTCCTTCACAGTGTCCACCATCTGTAGCTTCTCCCTGACCCGTTTCTTGCTTTAAAATGATGAGGCCCTGGCTGGTGTAGCTCAGTGGATTGAGCTCAGGCCTGCGAACTAAAGTATCATGGTTCGATTCACCGTCAGGACACATGCCTGGGTTGCAGGCCAGTTCCCAGCAGGGACACACGAGAGGCAACCATACACTGATATTTCTCTCCCTCTCTCCTTCCCTTCCCCTCTAAAGATAAATAAATTAAATTGAAAAAATAAGTTTATAAAAATTTTTTAAAAAATGATGAGGATGCTAAGGTCAGCTGTCTGCTAGGAAAATGGGACAGTTCTTCATCTTTTGGTTAATCTGAACATGAAGCTGTAAAGAGCATTGCCTTTTAATACTCAGGGTATAGAAGAGTATATTTTAAAATGACTACTGTATTTTTTGGACCATAAGATGCACATAGGTTTTAGAGGAGGAAAATAGGGAGAGAAAGTTTTGAAGCAAAATGTGGTAAAATATTTAATAACATAAATAACACTATATTTCACCAATGTAAATGTAAACAAAACTCAACAGCAGCATTAACTACCAGTATTTCTCCCAAATGGGGGGAGGTGCATCTTACAGTGTGAAAAATAGAGTATTTTAAAACCAAGAAAAACTAATCATTAAAGAGTTTCACCTTATGGATGTAAAGTGCTATAGTCAGTCGGTTCAAATTTAATGATGGAGCATAAAAATATATAATTTATATTTATATGTTTTATAAATATTTTTAACAATAATTACTTAAGAAATGATTATATAATACCCAGGAATTTTTTTTGAACTTTGGCTCTTCTATATTTTTCATATAATATTAATGTTGGTACATTTTTATTATCTAGTTTACCATATAGTATCAAGCTATTACTGCATGGAACGTTTCTATAAATGTGATTTAATTCACAGCACATTCAGTGTGTAAGATAAAGCAAATTATAACAGAGCTCTCGTAAGTTTTCCTATTGCTGTGGGAACTCTGTAGAGCAGGGTGTCAAACTCATTCTCACTGGGGGCCGCATCAGCCTTGTGGCTGCCTTCAAAGGGCCAAATGTAACTGCAACTCCTTAACAGTTAAGAGGTAGTTACATGTATACAGTCCTGAAATTATTTCAGCCCTTTGAAGGCAACCGCAAGGCTGACGTGGCCCCCGGTGAGGATGAGTTTGACAGCCCTGCTGTGGAATATAAAGAAGCTGCTTGAAACTTTGCAGTGTCACATCAAATATAAACATGAAGTGATTTTTAAATTAAACTTTTTATTTAAAAATCAAGGCCTTGGGAAGTAGAAAAGAAGGGGCCAGTAAGCATATTTAAGCAGTACTGGCACTTGTTACTTGCCTCTTGATGTGCTATTAACAATTTTAGTTTTCCATGAGTTGGAAAGTGTATATTCTAAAAGCTGTGTGTTGCATTCTCCATTCCCCCCACCCCTTCTTTCTGTCCTCTTCTGCAGGTCCACATGAAGGATGTTATGTCAGCACTGTGGGTTTCAGGGTTAGACTCCAGCTACTTACGAGAGCAGATGCTGAACGAACCGTTGGTTCGAGAAATTGTCAAAGAGTGCAGCAACATACCACTGAGCCAGCCGCAGCAAGGAGAGGCAATGCTGGCCAATTTCAAACCCCGGGGCTACTCGGAATGCATCGTGACTGTTGGTGGAGAAGAAAGAGTGTAAGTGTGGGTGTCTGTTTGAAAAGTGGAATAAGAGAAGAGCCATTTCTATGTAAACAAGAATTCCTGTGTTTGAGTACCTAAAGAATAATAGCAATAGACTTTTTTTTTTAACAGTTTAGACATTTCTTAGAGTGGTAAAACTTGTCATACTTGTTATAGCAGAACTGCATAAAACACAGTAACTGCTAATCTGTTTATCTTTTTAGTTCACGGAAACCAACAGCAGCAATGCGATGTATGTGCCCTCTTTATGACCCCAATAGGCAGCTTTGGATTGAACTGGCCCCTCTAAGCATGCCAAGAATTAACCACGGAGTGCTCTCAGCAGGTACTGTGTTGTGGTAAATTTTACTGAAACACAAGATCAAGTAAAGTGTAATTTCAGGGTTGTGCAGAGTGACTCAGCCTTTGAAAGGAATAATCTTATTATCTCTCTATGATGACATTTTCACTGTAGCTCTAGCTTTCAAGACTATGGTAAGAAGAGTGTTTTCTCTCCATCCTTATTGTCCCCAAATCATAATACGTAGCCATTTTTCAGAAGTTAGTAGAGGTTAGCTGATAGAAGAGCAGAATTCAGTGACCCTGACCACCAGTGAGCTGTGTGACCATACCTGGAACACAGAATTTCTGAGTCACGATAGTCCCATCATCTTTGAAACTTATTTGAAAATTATATAGTATGTAACTGTCTAAAATCAAAGTGTGATACAAAAGCAGGCATTTCAAAAGAGAATTTAGAAAGTACTACTTTAGCAATGGCTCAAAGTTATTTTACTACAGAAAGTATGTTTCAGTTGACCTTTACAAATTTGAAAATAGCCCCATGTTCTTATTCAGAGAGATGATAGAAAGATTGTCCTCACTGCCTTACTGCTGTTGGCTGCCTTTCTCTTACCCTTAGATCTGCCTTTTGGGTTCACCCCACAAGCCACATTTTACTGAATTCTAACTATTGACAGCAGTCTTCCTGGAATCCCTGTTTTATAGTCCTGCATGCCCACTAACGTTAAAAGGCGCAGGGATTTAATTAAGCAAGCAAACAGACAAAAAGCCCACAAACACAAACTCATAGATACAGATAACAGAATGGTGATCACAAGAGGGAAAGGGGGTGAGGGGAGGTAGGAGAGGGTGTAGAGGGGACAAATGGTGATGGGAGGAGCCTGGACTGGGTGGTGAACATGCAGTGCAATGTACAGATGATGTATTATGGAACTGTACACCTGAAACCTATATAAGTTTATCAACCAGTGTCATTCCAATAAATTAAATAATAAAAAAATTTAAAGCTATACCACATTATATCATGTTATAGAAATGGCAAAATCTGCCCTGGCTGCTGTGGCTCAGTGGATTGAGTGTGGGCCTGTGAACCAAAGGGTCACTGGTTTGATTCCCAGTCAGGGCATGTGCCTGGGTTGTGGGCCAGGTCCCTGGTGGGGAGTGCGCAAGAGGCAACCACACATTGATGTTTCTCTTCCTCTCTTTCTTCCACCCTTCCCTTTCTCTAAAAATGAAGAAATAAAATCTTTAATTATTTTTAAGAAATGGTTAAATCTATACTATAGTACAGAAATGGAATCATTTTCCAGGTGCCAGGACAACTGAAGTTATAGTTAATACTGAACAACTGGATGCAGTGGTGTAGCCAGTAGGATGTGGGGCTGATTTAGGGGAATCGTGAGCCCTCTTTATGGCCCCAGTGGGCAGCTTTGGATTGAACTGGCCCCTCTAAGCATGCCAAGAATTAACCACGGAGTGCTCTCAGCAGGTACTGCGTTGTGGTAAATTTTACTGAAACACAAGATCAAGTAAAGTGTAATTTCAGGGTTGTGCAGAGTGGCTCAGCCTTTTCTAGTAGACCCCTGTTCTGCCATTTCAGCTTTCGCCTCCTTAAATTTTCTTCTCCTAACATGTACACATATTCAGGATTTCCTCACATGCACACCTACCCCAAAGCTTCCTATATCACTAATTTTCAAAGATTTCCCACAGGAGTTGGCGTTTCAGAAACTAAACCAGGAGGAGAGGAATTGTGTCCAGTTGTATGGACTGAAGTTATGAAGTGACTAATTCCTCTTTGCCCGGCCTATTCTGCATTTCTTCTTTTCTTGCATTTTTTTAAATTGATTGACTTCTTTTCCCTTCAGTCTTTCCATTTATACCAGTTTAGAAGTTATAGTCTTTGTGTATATTCCATTGAAGGTTTACTTAGAAACTATAGCCTGTTATCAAAGCCTGAAGTTTATCAGTACTTTTACACTGTGTTTTTCATATTTTCAAGTGTAACAAAGTTAAAATACATGACTGTGTATAAATATAATATTTACATTTGTACATGTCTCATTAACCTATGTTTCATATAAGTATCTATAGGTACATAGTGTTTAGTGTTACCCACGTATTTACCACTTTCTCTGTTTTTCCCTCCTTGCTCCTCAGACCTTCCATACAGATCATTATTCCTTCATTCTGAAGTTCATCCCTTTGAATTTCCATTAATGTGGTTTTCTTATAGCAAACTCTTCAAATTTATTTACCTGAAAATGTCATTACTTTAACTTCATTTTTAGAGGATATTTTTGCTGGGGATAGAATTTTAGGTTGGTGTTTATTATGTTTCAGCACATTGAAGATACCTTCCACACACTTCAGGCTTTTATTGTGAAGTCAGTTGTCAGTCTAAACATCTGCCTTTTCTCAGGACTGTATTTAAGATATTTTTTGTCTTTGTTTTCTGCTACTTCACTACAATGTGCTTAGGTGCACAGTTTATTTGAAATTTTATCATATTCGGGGGTTGTGGGCATCTTGACTCTGTGGCATGACCTTTTCTCACATCTGGAAAAATCTTATTGTGTCTTCAACATATTGCCCCTGTTCTGTTCTCCTTTCTTTCTTTGCTTTTGGATGTCAGATTAAGTATGGCTACGTTTTTACTCCATTCTCTGCCTGCCTCCTACCTTCTCTTTCTTTTCTATCTTTTTGCCACACCATATTGGCTTTGTTATGATTTCTTTTGATTTAGCTTCCATTGAATGGATTCTCTGTTTAACTAAGATGGATCTGCCATTAAATCCATGCATTGGATCTTTAATTTTATGGTTTTTAAAAAATGTATTTTATTTACTTTTAAAGATTTTATTTATTATTAGAGCGAGAGGAAGGGGAGGAGAAAGAGAGAGAGAGAAACATCAATGTGTGATTGCCTCTTGTGCGCCCCCCACTGGGACCTGGCCTGCAACCCAGGCATGTGCCCTGACTGGGAATCGAACCAACAACCCTCTGGTTCACAGGCCCACACTCAATCCACTGAGCTACATCAACCAGGGCTGTTTTTTTCTTCTTTCTTTCTTTTTTTTCTTTTATCTCTAGAAGTTCTCTTTAAATCTTTTTCAAATCTGGAAGTCCCTTCTATAGCCCCTTGTTTCCAAGGGCTATCTTCAAATTTGCCTTTTATTTTTTTAAACATGGAAAACATTGTTGTGAAAGTCTTTTTATTATTCCAGTATTTGACATTTGGAATCTTTGCAAGACTACCTTCTGTTGTTTGCTTCTGCTGGTTAGAACTTTGCAGAGGCTTTTCTGCCAGAAGACATATTTTCTATGGGCCTGGGGTTCAGATTTCTGTCCCTTACATCCCCTCAAAGCCCTTAAAAGGAAGGTTGAACAGTTTCCCAGAACAGATGAACTCAGATAACCCAGAGCTGTTTGGAGACCTGAGTGGGCGGTGTCAGTCTTCCTTTATGTGGTAAGGTGGTGGGACCCCAGTCAAACACACTGAAGAAGTAAAGTGGTCACAGTGACTCACAGACTTGGCTCTCTCACCAGGGAAGGAATGAAATCTGATACAGATCTCGAATCCATTGTTATCAGAGAAGGTTCCTCCACATACTGGCTCCACAACTATGACATTTGTATTTGACAGGAGACGGATATTGAGGACTTAAGTTTCAACTTTCTTTTGTGTCTCCTTTGATTTTTGCAGAAGGATTTTTATTTGTATTTGGGGGCCAAGATGAAAATAAGCAGACCCTAAGCTCTGGAGAGAAGTACGACCCAGATGCAAACTCGTGGACTGCATTGCCACCAATGAACGAGGTAAAACATTACTTTTTCATTTGTTTGGCACATTTTGTTTTTCCCTTTGACACTTTCGATTGTTTGTTTTCCACTTGAGTATAAGAAAATAGCATAGCAGCCCTGCCAGGCTGTTCTGCCTGAAGTGCTAGTGCCTCCCAGCTCTCCTCTGGGGGCCTTCCCGTGGCTCGGGCTGACCTCATGGTCTCTCAGACCTTCTCAACATGCTCCTGCTCCAGAACCTTCCCCGGATACCCAGGTGGCATGCTCCTGGCTTCCCTCAGTGTTTGCCCGTGTAGAACCTTGTCGGGGCAGCCTTCCCTCCGGCCCGGCAGCTCTCCTGTCTCCCCTACCCTCCTTTCTTTCCCTTCATACCATGCAGCACCTTCTCCCATAGTAGGAAGGTTTAAATTGTTTACACAAACTCTTTTGACAGCAGGGGATATTACCTGTGTTCAGCACTCTGTCTTCAGTGCTAGAATAGTGCTGGGCACATAGGGGATGCTAAGAAAATACTGACAAATGAATGTGGAGTGCCTCAGGCTTCTGTCACTGCCCATGACCTTCCCAGAACCTGTTCTCCCACTGTCTGTCTGTCCCGTTGCTGTGGCTCTTGTCTTTCAGGCATCAGCTTGGAAACAGTTGTAGACCAAACACAGATAACCTTATGGAACCAAAAATTAATAGTTCTTTTCTTGTTGTAAGCTATCGTGGGTAAAAAGTACTGATTCTGACCATGAATTTACCATACAGGTAATTCCCTTGTTTTGAGAAATTCCTAGACTTGGGTTTTCTGTCTTTTGTGATGGAAGAGTGAGCTGCTAGGGAAAGCAGAAATATTTAACACAGAGGGTTTTGAGCACGGCACTTCTTTGCTGGAACTCTGGCATATAATGATAGCCATAATTTTTATTAAATGCAAAAGTATCAGCTTTTGATATGAAAGTCGATGTCTTTTCAGGGAAGACATAACTTTGGAATTGTGGAGATAGATGGAATGCTGTACATTTTAGGAGGAGAGGATGGGCCCAAAGAGCTAATTTCCATGGAGTGTTATGATATTTATTCCAAAACCTGGACAAAGCAACCTGATTTGACCATGGTTAGAAAGGTGAGAGCTGCATGTTATGATTACAAACTGGATTTTAAAATTAATGTTCCCTCATTGTCTGCATATGCCTTTTAATACAACTGGTAGTGTTAAAAGAAGTGGTGTTATAGAATTCTGCCTCTCTTGGTAGCTTGCAGTTGTTCTCGTCAGCCATTCACCAAGGTAGGAAACGGGGTGTGTGTACGTTTATCCTGGGGTGCGTGCTGTGCTGTCCTGCTCTGTCTCAGGCCTTCGCTTGATAAACGTTTTGTGAGTGCAGCCACCTGGGAAGCAGCCACCTCTCCTAAACCTGTTTTCTCAGTCATCATTGCAGGATGAGGAGAAACATTAATTTACAGGTAAAGAACTGCCACTGCTTACTGGGTAGAGTAAAAAAAGCAATGGTCATGTTCACTCTGTAGAGCTTCTGCCTTTATTTATATGCCCTCGTGCAGACAGGGAGTTTGTCATCAAGCCAAGCTTTGTCCAGGTGCATACGTGCGCCTTCAGGTCCTGGGACACTCATAAAACGTTCTCTGCTTGTTCTCTCTAACTAAGTTGTTTGGGCAAGAATGCGTGACATCTTGCCCCATGGAATCTAAATCTTAGATTGTGCAAACAGTGGTAAAATGATAGAGACTGGAAAGTTCCTTTAAAAAATGCGGGCTATTTACTTATCATGCTCAGCGAAATAATATTAGATGGACGTCATTCTTTTCTGAGGATTAACAATATGTGTATTATCTTGCTCCTCTTCTCATTTTTAAAATCCTGTGTTGTAATATTGGAAAGCACCATAGTTTTACTGTTAGAAATCAAATCCTTTTCCAAGTATTTTATAATGCTCTTAGATAAGTGAATATTAATCTAATAATAATAAATGTTGCTTCCCTCACTGTGGCTTTCTTCTTTCAGATTGGCTGCTATGCAGCTATGAAAAAGAAAATCTATGCCATGGGCGGAGGGTCGTACGGAAAACTTTTCGAATCCGTGGAATGTTACGACCCACGGACCCAGCAGTGGACTGCCATCTGTCCACTGAAAGAGAAAAGGTGCGGAATGCGCGTGTGGGCTTTGCAGAGGCCCCTGAGCACTTGGCCCTTGCTCTTCTTTTCTTTCAAACAAACCTCTTATTTCACTTGGGATTTAGTTTATATTAAATTAAATGAATAATCCATTTCCTGAAAGAGGAAAATCTACGTATTCACCAAACACTGAATGTTGCAATATTAAAACCAGCAGAAGAGGAATCGGGGACCGGGGTCACGGCTCTGTGTGTCCTTTCAGATTCGGAGCGGTGGCCTGTGGCGTGGCCATGGAACTGTACGTGTTTGGCGGTGTCCGAGGCCGCGAGGGCATCCAGGGCAGCAATGAGATGGTGACCTGCCAGTCGGAATTCTACCATGACGAGTTTAAAAGGTAATTACGAATGGCTTCACCTGGCTTCTGCAGCTTTTTCTTTTGTTTTTAAAAGTCACGTGTAGGTTTGTTTTGTTTTGTTTTGTTTTCAAGTGACTTCATTGAATTATCTTATCTGTTCAGGACATATGTGTAGTGCAGAATAGATACTGATTTGGTGACTTCGGAAGTATTGGTGACTTAAAGGAAAATCATAGAAAAGTGTTTCTAAAAAGCAGATCAGACCTTGACACCTGTTGCTTAAAATCGTTCATTGGCTCCCTATGGCTTTTGGGGAAAAATTTAAACCCCTTCACTCCACATGTTTGACCTTCTGTGACACGCTCTTTCTGCTACTGTTTGACCCAATGCTTCCCTGGAGCCCCACTGAGTGTCATTTCCCCTCGGGCGTGTCCCGGTTGTCTCAGCCCTGTGCTTTCGCACTGTTCCTTTTGCCCGAAGTTCCCCTTCCCACATCTATCCCATTACGTAGGCCTCTCCACAGTTCTCCGCAGTTATCACTCCCTAGAGGTCTGGTTGGGTTCCTCAGTCTGCGATCCCGTGACGTCTCGCCCTTGGTGTGATTGTTAACCACAAGCTCCATCAGGCCAAGGCCAACTCAGCCAGCTTTAAATCCCAGCTTCAGTTGTAACTGGCCCGTCGCAGACACTCACTAAAATGCTGACTAAATGGCGAAGTGTGGTGTCAGACTGACTGCCTCTGACGGGTGGCCACGTGGCCGTGTGCCCTGTAGAGGAGGTGATGTTCTTCCCAGCCTCCCCCTCGTCCCTTCGCTCACGCATTTTACTGTTATAACTGCTAAACAGTGTTCTTATTCCAGTCACATATTCAGATCCTTCGGGGAAACTGCCGTGCTAATATTACCCGTGTGATAGTGTTTCAGTCATATACCAGAAGGGGGTGCCAAAATGTAGTGTTTCATTTCACAGTATTTTAGATTAGGACAATGAGCAGCTACCAAGATTTTAGAAAGAGGTATAAATGTTACCTAACTCTTAATGTATTTTTAACTTAGGGTATTTTCATAGCCTTTTTTCCCCTTCAGTTACAGGGGTCAGCCATCTTAGGAAAACTTACTAGACGTAGTATAAGAGCAATTTAGAGGATGTCTGCTGTGGTGGGGTTGAAGGGGCAGAATTTCAAAGACTGTTCTACATTTCTCTTCCTTAACGTATTACTGTGAGGGCTGACTGCCCAAGGTATGAAGGACAGTGGTGCCTCGGTACTTGTCCTTTCTTCAGTACGGGACTCGCAGTGAGTGCCACCGGCCTGCACCAGACTACCGTGGACAGACGCGCCATGAGAGGGGGGCGAGCAAGTGACAAGTGATGAAACCTTTTTTTCTCGTCAGAATGCATTGAGTACAGGGTTTGATGAGTTCTGAAGCCGATGAGTACCAAGGTGTGACTGTAGTGTATTAATTTCCTGCCCAAATGAATCTTGAGACAGTCTGCCCAACTTCATTAACAAGCAGTGGTCAGTGTGTTTGGTTTCTGATAAAGTGATGATAGAAGCCTTTTTCTTAATGGCTGAATTACTGTGTAGACGTACGAGCTAGAGAGCTGTAACTCAGTGGGGTGATAAAGGTTGCTTACGATTTTACCTTTTTCTGCGCCTGGTTTGATTGTATAGGACTCAAATGTGGCTGTAAAGTCTCTCAGTCTGCCCTTGACATGCTATAAATTGTTAGAACCTTTATATTTCTATCAGGTTGTTTCATATTTATAGTTGATAAGCTTTGAGTGCAAATGTATTGCTTTCAGTTCATAATTGTTAAATGTAAGAGAATTGCTCCTTCCATGCTGTTTATATGCACTTCCAAATAAAATTCATATATCTTTAGTTTTCTTATTTCTAAGCTCTTCAGTGTTAGTTCATAAATAGAATGAAGAAAGCTTAGTTTCTCTCGTCAGTATAGCATACAGCTAACCCTTGACAACACAGGTTCGAACTGTGCAGATCCACTTAAACGCAGATTTTTTTTCCAATAAATATATACAGTGCTGTAAGTGTGTTTTTTATTCTTTATGATTTTCTTAACAATATTTTCTTTTCCCTAGTTTATTTTAATGTTAGAATATAGCATATAATACATATAACATACAAAATACGTCTTAACTGGTTATGTTCTCAATAAGGCTTCCGCTGACAGTAAGCTATTAGTAGTTAAGTTTTTGGGGAGTCAAAGTTTTACACAGATATTCAGCTGTGTGGGGGTGGGGTCAGTGCCCCAACCCCTCTGTTGTTCAAGGTTCAGCTGTGTAGATTCTTACTTGCTTAGATAACACTGAGCACATTCGTGCCACTTAGTACCATGTATTGACACATTTAACTCATTTAACCTTCACCACAGGCTTTTGTGATATAGACACTTTTTTATTCCTGTTTTACTCATAAGGAAACCCAAACACAAAGAGGTTAAGTATGTGCCCAAATGCAGTTGGCAGAGCTTTTGCATTTGAACTTGCACATTCTGGCCCCAGAGGCGGCCTTCTCAGCTACCATACTTTATTGCCTCAAAAGTGTAGGCTTTCTCATAAATGTCTGTGGAAAGAAAATAACATTTTTATTTCTTAAAAGATCATCAGATGTTTCCAAGTATGTTATATTTGCATTCGTTGGAAACTGTTGCCAGATGAACAATCTGTATTAGATCGGATACCATTTATTGTTAAGTAATCTCTTGTCTTTCCTGCCTTTGTTCCCTATTTTTAGGTTAAAACTTTCCTGGAAAAATGCCATATCTTATCATTTTCTGTGTTTCCAACTGAACACGAACTGTTTGAAGGAAAGCAAAGACTGTGCCATAAGTTGAACGTAGTCGTAGGAACAGGCTGCTGCGTCAGAAGGGCAGCGTCTCTGTGGCTGTTCCTGGTGCTCCTGTTCTTTACTGATACCACACCTCCCCGGTGTCCCCCCTCCAGAAAGGTCATCTTTGAGCCTTTCCCAGGCTTCGGTTCACGTCTCACCGGCTGTCTTCCCTTCTTTTTGAAACTGTGCTATTTCTCACATTCACCCGCCTTTATTTCTCTGCTCCTCCCAGAGCATTCTCTTCCCTACGCACGGTGGCACGGTGTCGTCAGCCTTCTAACCGGTCTTCTCGTATACATTTCTGAAAGATTAGTGTCACTTTGATCTTCGTTCCCCTGCTGAAGATCCTTCCTGTTTCCTCAGCGCTCACCAAACCGAGCTGATCCTGCTCAGCCGGAGGACCGGCCTGGGTGCCAGCACCCCCTGTTGACAGAGCCTCCCGCCACCTTTGTCTTTCCAGACAGCCAGCTGTGGACTTTCATTTTCTCCTTTGTGTGTTTTCCACTTCATTGGCTTCTGCTTCTGTCCGTGTTGTTTCTTTCCTTGCACTTAGGGTTTATTCTGCTCCTCCTCCCCTAAATTCTTCAGGTAGAATTTTTCTTATTTTTTAAAAAATACCTGTGCTGAAGCCTCCTGTGTTTTCACCATAAGCACATTCTCCTTTCCCTTACTGAGCATAGTTTGGTAGCAGCGTTCAAGTCCCTGCCTGGTAGATAATCCCGGCATCTGAGTCATTGCAGAGTTGGCGTCTGTTGATCATTTATTTCCTTGAGAATGAGTTCTTATTTTTCTGGCTCTTTTGTTGAATAATTTTGGGTTGCGCCCTGGACATTGTGAACAGAACATCGCTGAGGCCCTGGGGCCTCCTTGCTTCCCAGTGCTGCTCTGGGAGCCTCAGCAGACCGTGGACCTGGTTGGACTGGGTCTGCAGCTGTCACATCCACAGCGGGTGGCAGCCCAGAGTTCGGTTCTTCAAGCTGTAGTTACACGCCTTTGTAGTCCTGGGGTCAGTCAAAGACTTGAGCTAAGTGAATACACATAAATTTAGGGGCTCCTCTCTACCTGTCACCTTTCTGAGACCCCCCCACTGCACCTTGGTGATTCTGGTGGCTTCACAATGCACTGTCTACCTCAATTCCAGTGGTCAGAAAGATGGCAGGTATCTCGGGGTTTCAGCTGCCCCGAGCCACTGCCCTCCGGCAGAGCTACCGAAGAATGGAACCACTCCATGTGGGGTGCTTGTTCAACCCTCGGCTTCCTCCACAAACCTGCCTGCTTTTGATCACACTGCAGAGCCCTCAGGCAGTTGTGTGTTTGGTTTTGTCCAGAGCTGTAGCTGTTTCTTGCAGGAGGACCAGCTTGTGAAGAGATCCTTCCTCCCTAAAAGCAGAAGCCTCACTGACGCTCCCTTTTTTCCTGTCTCTTCTCTCTTCCCCTCTGCCCTCCTCTCGCTCCTCCTCCCTCCTCGCTCCATGCCCGTCTTTTCCCTCCTGCTTTCCTCCCTCTGAAGCTCACCGCTGTGGAGCCCTGCGAGATTTTAAAGTGTCGTTCTCAGGGAGCATTCTTACCTCTGAGTTAACAGCAGAGTCATCATTATAGCCTCCAAGTCCTGATAAGCCTGTGTGTAAAAACCTTGTAACTCAAGGTGTAATATTGCCTCGTTCATTACAGAAATGACTACCACACAGAGATGCCTGCTCTGTACTAGACACCGTGTAAAGTGCTTCACGTTGGCAGTTTCATTTCCTCCCCACAACACTCACTCGGAGTTGGTGATGGTGTCTGGTGTCCCTTCTTTACAGTTGACGAAACAGAGACTGGCTTAGCTACGTTGCCCAAGGTCAGCGAGGGGTACGTGGTAGAAGAAGAAATGGAGAACCATGTGCCTTTTATACCTGTTTTATAAGCAACGGGAAATACATGTTCCAGTTAAATTTTCGTGTTAGTTTTATTTCATTGGAGGCCTCAGCATTATAGGAAATAGATCACCTAGTGACCAAATTTGGTACATCATTTAGGTAGACCAGCTTGAATTATTCCAGGGAGGGATTCTATCAGATTCTTAACTCTACAAAATCATTCCAAAATATCCCATATCCTGATGTGCTTTTTCGGTAGATAGTGTGGTCATACCTGTCTTACTTTAGAAGTGACCGTGAACCTGCTGAGTGCATACGTGGCCTTTTAATGGGCCCGCACAGGAGAGTCGAGTGTGTGTCTCCGCCGGCGTTGGTCCTGTGGAGACACGCTGGGCATGCTGCGACTGCACACGGCACACGGCACACGGGGCTGTCTCCCACTGGTGTGACTCAGAGCCCAGGAAGTGAGTAACTGTCAGGGTCCAGACATGTACGGTTAGCCCTGAAAACATGTAATGTGAATGAGCCCGTTAGTTATTGTAGTTTGACATTTCCAGACTTTTTCTTTCAAAGGTCTGTTCAGATCCCTGGTCTCACTTCTTTAATGAGAGCTCTTAGATTTTTCACTTTTCCTATTAATGTGAGGCATTTTGGGGGCAGAGGCCAAACTGTATTCTCAGCCCCAAAAAACTGTTGGCTACCAATCAACATTCAGGTGTTGGATGAGTCAGTGGTACATGAAGGTATTTAGAAATAAGGCAACTTGTATTAGCTTTGCTTCTGAATTGTTATAGGGTCTTGGACAAACATTTTGCTCCCATCTTTCTTGAAATTCAAATGTGGAAGCTATTCCTTTATAACAACTTAGAAGAATGTTCATTGAAATAAAAGTGCTGTTCTTAGTGAGATAATTTTGCATTTGTATTTAGCATCAAGGTGCTCGGGACCTACGCCCCTGGCTTATTGGACACTTTATAGCATAGACTTAGAGGTACCGGGGCAGTGACACCCTTGCCCCTGAACGCTCCTACAGCCAGTGTCGGCCTGGCCTCGGGTGTTCTCAGTGGTTTAGCTGCATTCCCAGGGTCTGACCGAGGTCAGTTATGACCTGGTTGTGCCTTTAGCTATTAAAGGGAAGTTGGTCAGATTACCTTAAGTGAACATCGTTAAGTCAAAAAAAATCCCCAAAACCCTAACTTTTATTTTGGGATAATTTTACACTTGTAGAAAAGTTGCAAAAATGGAGTTCCCATAAGCCATTCACTCATCTCCTAATGTTACTATCTTACATAGCCATGGTAGAGGTATCAAAGCCAGGATATTAACATTGGTACAATATTATTAGGTAAAGATAGACTTTATTTGAATCTCACCAACTTGTCTACTGTTATCTTTTCTCCTTTTGCTCCAGGACTCAGTCCCAGGTCTGGCATTACACTCGATTATTGTGCTTCTTTAGTCTTTTTTTGTGTTTGATAGCTCCCTAGTTTTCCAGGTCTTTCGTGCATGATACCCTTGAAGATTATTGGTCAGTTTTTGAGTAGGATGTCTCTTAAATTGGGTTTGTCTAGTGGTTTTTTTGGATGAGGCTGTGGGCAAGGACACCACAGCTGTGGTGCGGTGCCTGTCACTGCACCACGTCGGGTAGGGCGCGATGTCACTATTTTGTCTTATCACTGGTGGCACTAACCTTGATGACCTGATCTAAGTGAGGTCTGTTGGGTTTTCCCACTGCGAAGCTACTATTTTCCCCTTTGCAATTAATGAATAAGTATCTTGGAAGGGAGAGTTTAAGAATATGCACACACTGTATTCCCTCAGACCTTCTCCACTCACTTAGCACCGATCAGTGGACTAGCCCTCAGTGGTTATTACCGTCGTGTCTGCCTCATGATGATTTCATTTCTTTCATTCCATCAACTGGAATTCTGTGAAGAAGACCCGTCCCTTTTCCCTGTTTTTTCACGTGTTCAATTATTCATATCAGTATGGACTCATGGGTTTTCCTTTGATTCTGAGTTACAAATCTAACACTATCATTATTTTGTTGCTCAATTTGCCCCAGCTTTGGCCATTACTTCATATCAGTTCCTGTGTCTGTTTGACACCCCCTCCCCCCCCTTTTTTTAAGCACTTCCGCTCTTGCAGCGCAAGATGCTCCAGGCTCATCTCGTGTTTTCCATCTGAGCGGTGGGGTCAGCCACTTCTTCATGGGGCCCCGGATCTTTTTAGTGGCAATTAAATTGATTCTCAACAGAAGTGCCAAGGCCATTCAGTGGGGAAAGAAACATCTTTTCAGCAGATGATGCTGGAACAACTAGATATGTGTACAAAAAAAACCCTTGACTATTACCTCATACCATACACAAAAATTAACTTGAAATGTATCATAAGACCTAAATGTGACAGCTGAAACCATGAAATTTCCAGAAAAGAGCATAAGAAGAAAATCTTTGCAGCCTCGGAGTAGGCAATGATTTCCTAGAAGGACACAGAAAGCATGAGCTAGAAAAGAACAACAAAGGATGAATTGGAATGGAAAACTTCTGTTCTTCAAAAAGCTCCATTAAGAAAATGAAAAGGACTTGCGCCCAAGATGGAGGCATAGGTGGAAATACTGTACCTCCTCGCACAACCAAATTTAAGGACAACAGAGATTTAGGAATAAAAATACAACCAAATCAGACAGAAAATTGAACTGTATGGAAGTCTGACAACAATGAACCATTCATCCAGACTGGTAAGAGGGGCGGAGTCGGCGGCCAGTGGAGAGGGGTCCCGGCAGGAGGTGGCAGTGATTGGCGACCCAGGCGAACTCAGGAAGGAACCCAGTAAGGCTCACAAGGCAGCTGGCTGACCATGGACACACATTTGTGCACAGAAAAACCAGTCAGGTTTCAAAATGGTCAGTGAGACAGACTGTGCAACCCAGGGCCCCAGCGATGGGAAATAAAGCCTAAAAGCACTGACTGGAAGAACTTCTGGGGGTTGAGGTGCTGGGAGAGGCTCCCAGCCTCACAGAAGAATTCTCTGGGGAGACCCACAGGATCCTAGAATGTACACAAGCCCACCCACCCAGGAACCAGCACCAAAAGGGCCCAATTTGCTTGTGGGAAGCAGCAGAGGGGACTGAAATCCAAGAGAGAGTGGAACAAATGCCATTGCTCCCTCTCTGACCCCACCCACACATACAGCATCACAACCCAGCAACTGGGCAGACCTGCCCCAGTGAACACCTAAGCTTTCTCCCCTTATACGTAACAGTTGTGAACAGACCAAAACGTTATGGCTCAAGCAGAAGAACAACTCAAAGCCTCAGAGCCAATACTTCTAAGCGACCAAGAGATAGCCAGTCTATCAGAGGCACAGTTCAAAACACTGTGATCAGGATGCTCACTAAACTGGTTGATTTTAGTCACAAATTAGATGAAAAAATGAAGGCTACACTAAGTGAAATGAGGCAAAATGCACAGGGAACCAATAGTGATGGAAACAAATCTGGGACTAAAATCAGTGGAGTGGACCAGAAGGAAGAAAGAAATAACCAAACAGAAAAGAATGAAGAAACAAGAATTTTAAAAAATGAGGAAAGGCTTAGGAACCTCCAGGGCATCTTTCAGCATTCCAACATCCAAATTATAGGGGTTCCAGAAGGGGAAGAGGAAGACCAAAAAGTGGAAAAGTTATTTGAGCAAATAATAAAGGAGAACTTCCCCAATCTGGCAAAGGAAATAGACTTCTAGGAAGTCGAGAAAGCTCAGAGTCTCAAAGAAGTTGGACCCAAGGAGAAACACACCAAGGCACATCATCATTACATTAGCCAAGATGAAAATGAAGGAGAGAATCCTAGAAGCAGCAAGAGATAAGGGGACAGTTACCTACAAAGGCGTTCCCATCAGACTGTCAGCTGATTTCTCCAGAGACCTTACAGGCAAGAAGGGGTTGGGAAGAAATATTTCAAGTCATGGAATCCAAAGACCTACATCCAAGATTACTCTATCCAGCAAAGCTTTCATTTAGAATGGAAGGGCAGATAAAGTGCTTCTCAGATAAGATCCAATTCAAGGAGTTCATCATCACCAAGACCTTATTACATGAAATGTTAAAGGGACTTATCTAAGAAAAAGAAGATAAAAAAGATGAACAGTGAAAGGACAGCAAGTTCACAGTTATTAAAACCACACCTAAAATAAAAGCAAACTAAGAGGACAGCTAGATCAGGAATGGAACCATAGAAATGGAGATCACATGGAGAGTTAGGAACAGGGGAGTGGGAGGAGGAGAGAGGGGAAGAAGGTACAGAGAATAAGTAGTGTAGATGGTAGATAGAAAATAGATAGGGGGAGGGCAAGAATAGTATGGGAAATGTAGAAGCTAAAGAACTTGTGACTCGTGGACATGAACTAAAGGGGGGGAGTGGAGGGGAGGGGTTGTGCAGGGGGGTGGAAGAGAATGAAGGGGGGAATGGGACAACTGTAATGGCATAATCAATAAGATGCATGCAGAGATGTTCAAGGTCATTAGTCTTCAGAGCACAGCATTCCATCAGTCTCGATAAAATGGAAAAGACCGATAGTACCGAAGCCGGCACTAATACCAAGCAGCTGGAATTCTCACACATTGCTAATAGGGATGCAAAATGGCACACTTTAAAAAACAGGCATTTTTTAAATCAAGTGAAATATATCCTTAGCTCTATAACCACACAAGTCCATGACATAAGTTCACAAAAAAGATTTGCATTCTGATATCCAAAACAACTTTATTAAAATAACCAAAGTTGGACACTACCCAGATGAGCACAAGCAGGTGAATGGGCAAACACAACTGGTATGTCCATATAATGGAATACTACTTGGAAAGAAAAAGAAATAAGTTACTGATGCAGGCAACAACATGGAATCTCAGAAACATTATGCTGAACAAAAGGAGCATATTGAAAAGTGCATATTCTTTATGATTCAGTATATATGACATTCTAGTACAGGCAAATCTAATACCTGTAGTGACAGGAAGCAAATCAGTGGTTACCCGGAAGTGGAGGTGGGGTTGAGATTTACTGGCACAGTGCCTAGTACTGTTGAAGGCTTACCCAGTTTTGTTGTCGTTGGTAGTTGTCCTTAATTCAGTCCTTCTGTTTGTTTTCAGGTGGATCTACCTTAATGACCAGAATTTATGCATCCCCGCCAGTTCCTCTTTTGTTTATGGAGCTGTACCCATAGGAGCCAGTATTTATGTTATCGGAGATCTTGACACGGGTAAGAACCTTAGGGTGATTTTTACCATAACTGTTTCCTAGTGATTCTAAAGCACGTTGTCTCACCACTGCTTATTTTTGTGGTTCAGGCACCAATTACGACTACGTGCGTGAGTTTAAAAGAAGCACTGGAACCTGGCACCACACTAAACCACTCCTTCCATCCGACCTCCGCCGCACTGGGTGTGCAGCCTTACGTATTGCAAATTGCAAGCTTTTCCGCCTGCAGCTTCAACAAGGCTTATTTCGTATCCGTGTTCATTCACCTTGAAGAGGAAGCGGAGCGGAAGCAGAGCTCCTGACCAAGTGCACCATCACAGGGCTTCACGCGAGGGGGACCGAGATGGCAGCCTAAACTTGCTCTGCATGCCAGGCTTTGTGTGGTAACTCTGGTGGTTTTATAATGCTTAGACGCTTGAGCTTCAGCTCTTGTTTGGGAGAACATGTAACTGTTCAAAAACTACCTGGCAGGAATTGGTTCCTCCAGTTAGGTGTGTCTGTAGACAAATGGAGGCTAGACTGTCAAAAGGAAGGGGGAGGTGGGAATCAGTAATTATGTAAAATATTGAAGTTAAAATACTAAGGTGCATTTTTCCTGAAGGTACACTGCTGTGTACCCGGCTTTGGTAAGCAAACAAACAAAAATCCGTATATGCAAATCAACATATCCAAGCATACCAAGACTGCTTTTGTACTGCACTTGGAAGGAAACATTATGCCTAACCCCACCTGCCCAACAAATTAAGGATTGTGCCTAAAATGTTACATTGGATGGTGTGCCAGCTAGTCTCCATTTACTACTAGTATTCTGTGCTAAGAATCTTTTTAAAACTATATTATGGTAAATTGAAACTAAGATAAAATTTCTCTTTGATGACATTCTATCTTAGTAACACTCAGTAAATTAACAAGTCAGGTTGCAGCCCTCGTATGAATTTAAAGGAAGTTGCTAACTTCTGTGTTAATTTGGATTGGGGTGTGTCCCGCCATGATTTCTGGGGTAGTGCTCTTGGAGTTGTGAAGGATCCCAGGCAGTGCCAGTCTTCCCTTCGAGTAATCAAAACCATCTTATGAATTTGAGCAGGTTAGAGAGGAGGAGATTTTATAACAGAAAGACCTGAGTCAGATAAATAATAATGGTCTGCTGTGACCACACAAAAAAATAATAATAAAATAAAATTTAAAAAAAAAAACTGACCAGACAAAATATAACGGGATCAAAACTTTTAAAAATAATCTGTCTGAAAGCACACAGAGTCTTGTTTACTACTGTTAGGATTTGAAAACTTGTCTTAGAATGCAAATGTGTTCAGAATCTAGTCTTTGTAGTAGAAGATCCTCAGTGCCATTCACTAGTAAGGGTTTAGACAAATTACGATAAAGTTTGGCTGGTAGAGTAAACTACCTCAACTTAATTTCATTCTGTTCATAGTAGAGCAAATTCCTCCTTCTCTATCTCTCACTCCCATGCCACTGCACCCCATGTCCCATTGGGGGGAAAGGTCTGTCATTAGCAGCATGTATCTTGTGAGATACTTTGTTTTCCATTCAAATCAGACCACATTAGTGTGAAATCAGGGACTTCAAAGTGCTTCATTACTTCATCATTTGAATTTTATGCAATATCAGATTTCTGATCAGTTTAATAATATAGAATTCTTCATTTTTAATTGTTTTCTACAGCTTCCTCCCCCCTTAGAATATGGCTCTAAGAAGCAGCGTTTTGTTTTAAAGATTAATGTATAAATGTATCTGGTTATTGTAAATTTGGGGACAGGAATTTCTTTAGGAAACTTTCTACATGGAATGTTTGTATGCTATTAACGTGCATGTGAAATGTCGCTTGTGTTTTCCCACCATGAATAGAAAAAGGGGTGAGAGGTTTTGGTTTTTGTTTTCGTTTTCAATGCCCACTAGAAGTCAACACAGTGCTGTCAGAGTTGGTGGGAGGAGTCTTGCCCGTGATGATTCTGCAGAATGTTATGTGTGGCACATTTTACGTTCCATTCTGGCAGAAGAGTTTGGTCAAAGAAGGAATGAGGTTTTTCTCTTCTCTGTCAGGAGCACAAGGCCAGGTTTGCCACGTGTTTAAGTAACACAGTCCACTTGGGCCTGAAGTCAAAGCTGGCCCTTCTCCCTTGTGTCGCGTGTGGGTCCGCCATTGTCTGCACACTTTCCCAGTGATACTTTGGATACTTTATCAAAGCAAGCTCCATGGCTGCTACGGAGACAGAAAACTTTCTTCTTACAATTAGGTATTAGTTTTAGAGAAAACAGATTGCTGAAAAAGTGAATTTTCTTTAGTAGAGGATCTTGTCTAGAACACAGCTTTGGCATTCAGAAGCTGCAGTTGAGCTACCTTAAAGTAGTAATCGGTATCTTATTAAAGCCGTGACAATCAGCAGTTCTCTCTATTTTAAATTTCTGAAGTTTGAAATTCTTCCCAGCCTACGCCAGGCCTTTCCGAAGGAAGGATTCATTGGTTAGGAGCGAATGGTTCCCGGTTGCAACACTGTCGGTGCCCTGCTCTTTGTTTTCTAAAGTTATGTTCTTTTAATTCAGTTTATTGACATGATAGCTGCAGAAATTAGGGAATATTTTATAAAATAAATTTGCCATATAGTATGGGATGCAACAACCAACAAAAGCTGCTAAGTGCCAAACTGATTTTTACTATATATATACGTATATATATATATAAATATGAAAATATTTTGTTGACACGTAGGGATGTATTTAATTTTATTATGTTCCAAAATTAATCATGACCTTTTTTGTAAATTACAGTTATTTCAGTATTGTGAAATAAATTTTAACTCATTTCATGCAGGTTTGTGTTTTAACATTCCACTTATGACTTGAAACATCTTTTCTTGATCAATTTTTGATACTTCTTTTTCCATAAGGCACTTTTACCAGGCATATGTTGGAATTGGTGGCTAAGCTAGATCTTAAAATTTTAAATATAATATCTTTGGGGGAAGTGCAATTTATTTTCCTTATCTCACCAACAGAAGGAAAGTTGTCTCAGGTTAGGGTGAGTGAGTGTATTTTAAAGGCTCTCCCCTGTGCTACAATCTGAAGTAGGATAGTTTCTTTAGCACATCCAAATGTAGATTTTTCAAAGATTTTAAGTGTTTAATTTAAAATGAAGTTTTGTGTGTGGGGGGGTTCTGATAGTGCTTATATCCTGCAAGAGGAAAAAGTGTGAAGAGAGAGATGTGAGAGAGTGTGAACGAGTCCGTGTGTGTGCGCGTGTGCGTGCTGTGCGACCTGGTACGTCCGTTTGTATATGTTTACTTTTGATTGTAGTTCCAAACTACATATATTACTGTCTTCTGGTGCTTCTGATAAATTCTCGAGCCTGTGGCCCTTCAGTTGATACTGTGTGAAACTCATGTTGAGTGTAAATACTGATAAATTTGTAGTTTGTAGTTTCACTTGGTGTTTGCATTTCTTTTCTTTAGTGAAACTAATGACAACGTTTGCCAACCAGTAGTTGGTATGCCATAAAGATTTGGCCTAAGAAATTTCGAAATTAATTGTGTTTCATTAATTTATTATTTCATTGCTGTGAGGAGATCATTGCTAACGGCAGGCTTTTTTTCAAACTGTAACAACCAAAAAGGCACATTTGGGGGGATGCTGGGCGGTATGTTGTCTGTATTGAAGTGTTCTGTCCTATTGCACTACCACTTCAATGATGGCACTTTCTTCAGTGGTGCTTTAGAAGTGCCTTTTTTTTAATCATTTCTAAGTGTGGGGTTCCCTAGGCAATGCACAGGAAACAGTCCTCATATTGACATGGTGAGGGAGGGGCTGCCTTTGCGGTGCACCTCAGTTGCCCATGGCAGTGAGTTAGGCTTTTAGAGAAACGTGTCGGCCGCCTTGGTCCATTGGGGTTCCATCTGATACGTTCCTACTTGAACAGACCAAACCAGGATCCCAGCGTGTTTACCAGGGACCACTGAAAACACTGCAGTGTTACCTTCCAGAACGTTGGCTTTCTTGATTCAAGAGGAGTCTCCTCTGGTCAGATGAAGACATTTGACCGTCTGGGGAAAGAATAAGGTGCACTTACACTGCACATTGCATCCATTTAACAAGTGCCGAGACCCTCCACCCCCTTAAAAAGCACTGGTGGAAGGGAAAGATGAGGCTGCTCTTGTTCAGCGGCTGCCCCCTCAAGCCTGTGAGCCTTGGGGGGAGCCAGTGAGAGAGGAGACTCTGGTGTAGAAAAGCCTGCCCTAGGTTTTATCAACAAATGTTTATTGAGCACCTACTAAGGTTTCTGCTTGCGTTTCTGAGGAGCGTAACAGTGAGGCAGGTATAACACTGCTCTCCCTCTGGACTGTAAACTCCTGGGGGCAGGGACCGCACCTTAGTCATCTGCTAATCCCAGCTTCACAGCAGGCCGTCAGTGAAGGCTGGACCAGTGAATGTGGTCTGCTGTGCTCCAAGAGATGTGTTTCATGGGATTGCAAAGTACTTTCTGAGGGGGCCTTAGAATTTTCTGGATTTTAAGTGAGAAAGTTCGTGCACAGGTGTGCTGGCCTCATAAAGCGGGAGCCCAGCACAGAAGAAGAAATGCAAAGTGCCTGACATGTGACACGCCCCACTGTGGTTTCCGTCCGGTCTGCGGGGTGCTTGAGACCCTCCTCTCAGCACGCCCAACAACATTTTTCACTTTTACTATTGGGTTTTATTTATTGCTTTTTATACAGGGCTCAAAATCTTTTCCAGAACGTACTGCTTTGAGCCTCGTGTCTGTGTGAAGGCGCAGTGCTCACCGCTGGACAGGGAGCAGCCCTCGAGGCCAGTGGATGCGTCCTCACTGCTCTGCACACGGGAGTCGGCACCCCAGGCAGCATCCAGGCCTCCGGACCCTCACCGTTCAGCCTGTTAGACTCACTTAATTTTCTAGGTAGACAGGACTCTTATAATGGTCTAATAATCACTAAACCCCCAAACATAGTTTTTGCAAACTGCATAGATATAAAATGAAAGATCTTTGGTTTTCTTTGTCAGTTAGCTATAGGAAAATTTACGAATCTACTAAGTCTGTAAGAACAGAAGTGATAAGTGTGTTTGAAAGAGAAGCTGCTTTTACTTTAAAGGAGCTGGAGCTTCATGTACACTTCCTTTTCTTACCTTACCTAGTATAAGGTAATCGGTAAGGGCAAGGGAATTGTGTCTTAGAATGTTGAGGAAAGTACTTTGCTAGCTGTTTAGTAATCCCTGAATATTCCTTATAGCCAGTTCAGAAATTATAGACATTTACGGTATACGGGTAAGGGATAACTTGTCCATGTTTGGGAAGAACATGAACTCAGGTTGGAGTTTGTCCTGCCAGCTGGCAGTGCAGTCTCAGTAGGTATTGAACTACAGACTTGTCTTTCCCCCCACAAACCAGCTGATAACTTTTAATTTTTTTGTAGTTTTCAGAAGGAAATTTGTTATTTTAACTTTAAACGTACAAACATACCAACTTTATCTCATTACAAAAGTTCCACGTCGGTGACATCTGAGGAGTTCGGTTATGACCATCCTCTTTGGTCTGATGCCAACAGTTGAGGAAAGTTTGTTCTTTCTTAGTTCTATCATCAAAGCTCTCCAAGTGATTTGATTTTTAAATTCCATCTCTTTCAAAGACCTGACAACAAACTTCTAGATAGGCAAATATCTAGCAGTTACATAATTATCTACAATGTTACATAATTATCTAGTGGGAAATGTCTGTTGCCTTCTGTTTTATTGAAATAAAAACTAAGCTTTGAAAATTGCTACTCAACTGAAGTTTGGGCTAATTATAATTTTTTATGTTAATGTCCTCCTAGCCCAACAAAGCTGTAAATTCTTGAGTTGCCGTGATGTGAATTGGAGAAGGTGCAGCCGGGGGAAGAGGCCAGGCCAGGCCCTGGGCGCACACTGCTAGGGTGAGCTGGAAAGAGATGAGCTGGTTGACAGGACCCTTGTCAGTAAAAGGCCCCTTCAAGTAATTCAGCCCCCACGCCGGTACAGGTCCATCTTGCTTTCTGGTGGGTGAATGATATTTATTAGAAGTTGACTTTTAGCATTTCAGTACAAATTGTAAGTTTTTAAGTACTTTATTTTTATTATTCTTATTCATCAATTACAATTACAGTGGCTGCACCTGAGAATCTTGGGTCATACGTTTTGAAGTTAAACCAGTGAACTTGGTTTAAACATGACTCTCCCAAGCTTGCTTTATCATGTTTCCTGTTTA